TAGGATGCAAGCAGATTTTGACATCAAATTTTGGGGTAAAAAAAGTGCATCTTATACACTGAAAAATATGGTACTCTCAACACCTAACTACTCTTACCTGGTGGCTTATAGTAAAAGAAAATTTCAATATGTTTCTATCAAGAATGAAAAGAATGTATAAAGAAATTATAAAAAATCCCCAGATCTGTGGTTTGTTCCTACATTTTCAAACTTTCCTTTAAATTTCATTGTTCTTTTTAGCATGAGCTACATCTACTCAGTTTCTCAAGAAACCACAAATTTCTTGCACCATTTTGTAAGTTCTACATTGACATAAATAGTTCATAATCTGCACAATCCAGTGATATTTAATCTTTGCCTGTGGCTATTTTCAAAGCAGAGTTTCATTAAAAGTTTCTCAGACCACATGTTGTGAAGTCATACAAGTATTTGAATGAGGTGTTGTACTAATAAAATCAGAAAATGAAAAGATGGAAAATTATGTTAGAAACAAAATCTTGAGAATGTAGTTTATTTCCTTTGGGATGGGCAGAATTCTCAAAAAAAATCAACAAATGCAATGTTTACAAGTGAGACTCCTCAGAGATGTGCAGAAATACAAGTTTTGAATATATTTTCCCTTGTTTCTTTGTTAATTACATGAAACATATGTTCTAAATGACCAAATATAAATTCTCAAATACTTTTGAGTACAAAAAATTTCTTGCAAAAAGAGTTAGAATTATTTTTTGTTAAATTTTGAAATGCAGGTATGCACTTGACACCTAAAAGGTGCTCACCAGTTCAGATAGGATTAAAATATATAAAACAATTAAAGAAATCAAAAGAATTTATAAAAAAACATGTAGCTTATCTGTACTACATCTTTTCTTCTTCAGTGTTCACACTTCAATTCATGTTAGCTTTTCCTATGCATAATGTAATTCAGTTAAAATGTAAGAGTATTTGAAAATGGACAAAATTTTTTACACCATTAAAAGTTGTTATATACACCATTTATACCTGAGGTGTATTAAACCCATGCTTTGTAAACTCTTTTCATTGTAAAAGCAACTTAACTACAATTAAAACACTTCATCCTCTACCCATTCACCCATCATTCTTCTTCTCTTTTTTTCTCATTTTTTTACTTACGGTGCCATACTTGATATTTGTATTTTCATTTGAAACTATTTATAAACAGATACTTAAATTATCTTCAAACACCTATCTGGTAACTAACTACAGTAAGCTATGAGTAGCAGTATAATCTATAACTTTTATCTTGAATTGTGTATGAATTGACAGCCATATATATATGCAAGCAAAGCTTTACTACAATCTATTTGCAGAAATATCATTTCTAATCATACAGGTGTGTGATTTCTGTTTTATTCATGGCAAAATAGTGGTTTTAAGGGCATTATTTCTAAATTAGTTTAGCTTTGTTGTTGTTCAAAAGTTGTAACACAATTATACATTATGATAGTATTATCATAATAGTAAGATTACTTTAGACAATTTAAATTATCTCTGCGATTCCATGCATGCTTAAGAAAACACAGAAAGTGAATGCTAAATGCTACATTACCCGCTGCTGGGTTGGACTAACGTTCTCTGCACTGTTAGATCTAGGCACAGTTGGACTACTCTTTTCTGCAGAAGGTGGGGTTATCTGACAATACACAGGGCTAGGGGATGATCCAAGACGTCCATCCCTCCAAGCCAATGGAGAAGAATGGGGGTCTGGGCCTCCAGGAGAAGTCGCAGACCGTGGAACAGGAGGAGGTTTATCAGTTACACGTGGTTCTAACTGTAATGTCTACAACAGACGATAAAATTAAACTCCAGTTTTAGAGGTAAATGTATGTGTGTTTTAGACACATGTAACTACAAGCATTACCCACATTATTGAAACACACATTCCAGATTTGACATTAGAGAAGTCTCAAGTACGTGAGATGTGTGCTACACATTCATATAAACCACAGAAAAACATATTTCTTTTCAGGTATGTCACCATTGTCTGAACAAAGAATATCATTAATTGATTTTAAAAATTTATCTGTATTCTGCAATTGTCTTCAAATTGCACGACTGTACTTAAAAACATTTTGTTTTGTTACGAAACTTTTGGCATTATACATCAAAGACATGTATTTATGGTGCAAATGGAATACTCTATTAGAATACTTCAGCTACAAAAAGTGATATGGTAAAATACCCATTAAAACTGTAAATAATTAACTGCACATTCACCCACAAATATACACTTCTAACAAGCACGAGTGACAATACACATCATAATACAGATTTTAATCAACCATCAATAGTTATTCAGTTGTGCCACAATCTAAGCAACAACAGCAGTTATTATAACAGTACATGTTTGAGATGAGACTCAAAATAACTAAGTCCAAAAATACATGACTGTGCATAAATAGGAGTAATGACATAAAGCCACTGAAATCTCATTGTGACTTGTGTAAGTATAGCCACTACCTACATTTTATTGATTGTGTATGATTGTAGCTAAAATGTATATGATGTTGTGTTCTCAAAATGCTGAAATATTTGCAGTATCTGCAGTCACCAGCAAGTGAGCAAGTATTTCTGTACTGTGTTTCAGATGAGCAAAATGCATGACATGTTATTCAATTAGGTTATTCTCAATATATGTCCGTGACTCTGCCAATAAGAAAAAAATGTACTCTACTTTTATGCCACTGCAGTTGGCAATATCAAAAGGCTGTTCAAGAACCTCAACTTCAGAATTAAAAGAACAATTTGTATTCTCTCTTTAACATGTATGGATACCAAAAAATAAAAGTTGGGGAAATAGTTTATTGATGTTGAAGTCCAATTCACACCCCTGACTAATGATATTCTAGAAATCAATGGCACAACATATGTAGCTACATGTATTTACATGACAATACGGTTAACAACTGTGAAACTGGTTTTTATAAAAATATTCAAAATACCATATAGATCAAAATTCTCTCTACTACAAAATCTTAAATAACCTGAAATGTTGAAAACACATCTCTTTTTGTAATAACTCCCTGTTTTGCCAGACTTATCAGCCCAATCATTACTCAGCATTTATACACACCACAATGGTGAATAACACAGGATAGCAAACCATCTACTGATTACAAGACCGAATTGGCTAATCAAGCACTGGGCTCTTGGTGACAAGCAAAGTGTGTACATGTAATTGTTCAAAATATGAATTCCCTACTGTCCATAGAAAATAAATAAGTCACTGATACCCCAGCAGAAAGTGAAAAAAGCTGATTGATAACCTGCATATGTCTCCCCTCAATTGATTTTTCCATCAAATTTGCATATTTCAAAAATGTCATGTTGGTGACTAAAAATCACAGATTTCTGTGAATTTGCTGAAATTTCACATCCATAACTACTGAGAAGACTTTGTTTAAAAATATTAATGGAAACACTGTTATAAAAACAATGTTAGGGAAGTAGGACATTATCAGGTATAACAGTAATTAACAGTTTAAAAAAAAATATATATATATATATATATAACTCAAGCAAAGACTTTATTTTTTTTGAAATCCACCTTAAATCCAAATTATTTGATAAACAGTGTCATCAATAAGATATTCAACAGTTAAGGTTTTGCATTAAAAAAAGTGTAAAGGATGATTTAGTTGCTCAAGTATAAATTTTGGTAACAGTGGGAGAGACTGAACAAGTTAACAGAACAGCATGTATAAAACTCATGATATGATTATTCAAAATCTTTAATTATCAAAATAAAAGCCTTAGGCCATGTACAGTTAAATAGTTGATTCGTAATCTACTGAAATATGTTTCTTCTGTCTTGTTCAACAAAATATGAAAATGTGGTTTACAATGAATACCAATATTAGTATATGACAAAGCTATACAACAAATGTTTGCTCTCACTATAAGGCATGTGAATTAGCATTACTTTCTCAAGTGATCTTGGTACAGAGCTACTCAGTAGCCTGACAAATAAAAAATAAATTAAGTTTGGCAACTTGCTGTTTTTTTTAAATTTATTCCATCTGAAAGCCACTTTTTTTTCTTACATGGTTTTACATATTGTGTCCATTTTCCATGTTTTAATAACATACTGAATCAGATACCCTGGTTTTTCAAATATTTTGTGGTATGATAACATATAAAATGTTTATCATAAATCCACACAGGTGCTTGATTTACTCATTTTTTTTTGTAATAAATTTTACAATATATATATATGTGTTACAAGGAACTTACCTTTCCACTTTCAGCAAGGGAACTTGGGGAAAGCGAAAGGTCGTGGGAAGACATTTTATCAAGCTGCTTTCCATCTTGATGTGCCAAATCATCTACAAAAAAGAAAGTTTTCTAATAAATATGAAGAAGTTTGGTTGGTTCAGAATTTTCACAACTTGATGTTCCTAATTTTAAACTGATAAAATAGAAGGTAGACAGTTAGTCAACAGCACCCATTTCCAACTCTTGGGATACTCCTATCTAATCAAATAGTGGGATTTCACTGTCAATTTTATAGTGCACCCATAAAGTCAAAGTGCCATTTGCAGCAAAAGGCTACAAACCATGAACTTTTGAATTCACTTATTGAACACTCTAACCACTAGGCAACACCTAGCCTAATAAGAAGTAAACCAATGATCAGAGCTATAGACTTAAATCCTTTTAACCCTAGAATGCCAGAATTAAATTTTCAATCATTAACACCAGGTGGTATGGGGTCATGGTGACCCCACGCTGGCATTCTAGGGTTAAAGTTATTTCACAAACAAAAGAGTCCATTGTAATTTTCCTTTGCTTGTAGTTAAGCAGTAAAACTACACAATGGGCTATCTGTGATGTGCCCACCTTGGGTAGTGAAACCTGGTTTCTAGAGTTATAATTTTGTAAAGTTACTGCTGCATCACTGGGGAGGGGTGCTGTTGTACTTAACACATTTGTGGCATGATTCCTCTAGTTGTGCAATAGGAATGTAAAGCCTCATTGTGAACTCTGTCTTGGATACTGCTAATTTTATGTTTTATGACATAATGACTGCATTGACAACTTTCTCTTGAGAGTACCACTGGTGGTGCAAACTATAATTTAAATAATAATAATCAAATGATCATAATATTTAATATTTTTTCTTTTTTTAATAGTAATTTTGCCATTTTTTTAGAAGAATTATGAGTATTTCACAAAAGTATGGTCATAAAAAAGGGACATCAGATAAAATAATCCCTTCTGTGGTTTTTTATTTATGAAAGTCTCAATTAGTTTTGACTTCAGTTACTCACAATGAAAAATTTAATGCCAGTCTCTAAACGTAATTTTAAAATAAAAAGTGATCTAGTCATTTCAATTTGTTTTATTTCAGTTGTCCTTTCAACATGGCATCCGTGTTTCACCAGTGGTACATAATGGAAGGTGTGGCTTTATTATAGCCATCCATACAAAATAAATGCATTCATATAAGACTTTGGAGATATGAGATGCAGTTATATCTTATGGGTGCTGTGTAACACTGGTGGCTCACGATGTCCAAGAGAAAACATGCAAATATATTACCAGCGGTGCACAATGTCGTGAATGTGTTAAGCTTGATATACATTTTCAGTTCACCAAACTACATATATATTTGTATTTTTAATATGAATTGCACCTTATGGAACACATCAGCTAAATAGCCATGTTAGAGATCCATGGATTATACCATTTACTATTTTAGATTTCTAGATAACCTAATTTCAATTGTACTGCTACGAAACAAAACTTAAGTTTCATAGAGCCACACGATTGCATACACAGAGAGTCATTAACAGATTATTAAAATGAATGAAAGTTAGTTACCAGGGCTGTGCAAATGTCAGGATTCTCTAACAATGACCATGTAATAGCCAAACATATATCATTAATTCTGACATGCAAAGAAAAGCAGACAACGTGAACAGGGTTTATGAAATACCTTAAAAAATTGAAGGATGGCTGGAAATGTTATGTGCGTACCTTCTCTGAAGCGAAATAATCATACAAGATTGTTAATTGATATAGAACCAGTAGAGACAACAGTTTACAAGAGAAGTATTCAATGAACTTCATGGAAAAACTGACATAAAAAAGAATTTAAAGTGGCAATGGGTTACAAAAGCCACACCCCAAGCCAATAAAGGGTAATACCCTCATCTGCAAAGTGAAGGGAAAATAGTTTTCTGTAACTTAAAACAGCCAAAATATAAAATCAGGCATTGATTTAAAGAAGTATTGAGTTAGAGAATGCTATTTTCTTAAAAGCACATTGCTACATCAGTACGTACCTTTTTTACCTTGAGTGGTGGCTACATCATGGAGAAGTCTGTATCTACTAAGTGATGATTTTAACTCTTCAATTTTCTTTTCCTGGCGTAAACAAAAATTACACACATATATATATATATTATTGAATACAGGTTTGAATTGTTACATTTTTTTACCAAATGTACTACAGTTTACTTTAGTTCTGATGATGTTCCATTGTCAAGTACATTTATTTTCTGGTAAAGAAGTTGAAAACAACATGTAATGGGTCAAGCCATCAATTACAATGTTACTGTGATTACCTTTTCATCATTTGCTGTGATAACAGACTGTAGGGCTTTCTTCAATTTGTCCAGCTCAGAATCTAAAATAAGTATATATACAAATTTACTTTTCAAGTTATAATGTTTACAAAAAATTCAAACCTAATTTTCCCAGTCTAACTGTACACTTCCCCAAAAATAATTTTAAAACAGAGTAAAACTTATGAAATGATTAGTAAAGCAGAATCAAAATGTGTGGCCTATACTGAGGTATTTATTAAATTTTTAACACTTGTCATATAAGCCAAGGGGAGGTCTTTGTTGTTGATAAAAAAATGCTGGCTTTTTTTTTTGCTATAACTTTGTGATAATTCTAATTGGCTGAAATGTGGCTGTTCAGTACTGCTTTTACTGAATCGACAATTCTGTTGACGACCAGGTCAAGAAAGATGTGGTAGGGAACAGTAAGGGAACTCTCATGTAGCATTTTAACATGCAAATGCAAGTGTCCACATTGTGGAATATGCTTCAAATGCCATTGTGGTTGTTCATGTGATGAACTATCCTCTGTAGTAAAAGTATCTTGAAAGTCTGGTGGGAAGCAGCCAATGGATCCTCTGGTACTTCAGAAACTGACACGAGAAGTAAATCGAATTCCAGCTACTTTGTGGAGGAATTTACTCTTGGTTGAGCTTTACATCCACCAAATAGTAAAATTTATAGCCAAAAGTATGTAGATCAAGTCAAGGATGTTGTTGTTGTTGAAATGTTCAAGAAAAGCCTCGCAGATAAGTGGAATAAAATGGACCCCAGAAGAATGGTTGAAGAACTGTGATCTACATATCCTGATCTACTCAATATACCATCCAACACGGAGATTTGTTAATGTACCACAGCCCTGACAGTGAAGTACAAAAAAAGGTACCCCGACATTACTTCTTCTAGAGGAATACAGCAACCTTACAGAGACACATTGATGTCCATTGTGTCTGAATCAAACTATACCATTACACCTACAAATGCAGTCTGCGAGCTCAAGGTGCAGCATAAAGACAACATTCGCAATAACGATTTCCCGAGAGATGATCAACTGAAATTATTAATTTCTTGAATGTGGTCACAGCAAAAGAAGAAAAGCCAAACAGCTACCATCCTATAGTAATTGTATTACCATGCCTATATGCTTTACTATGTACATCCACTTGGAAACAAAGCAAAAGAGCCAAACAGCTACCATCCTATAGTAATTGTATTACCCTGCCTATATGCTTTACTATGTACATCCACTTGGAAACAAAGCACTATAACTTTTGATATATTAATTCAATTTTTGTAAAAAATAGTTGTAAGAGTTTCTTTGTCCAAGATACGTCTAAAAACACAGTTTTTAACAGTTTCTACATTGGAAACTTTTTGGTAACCAACAACCTTATATTAAAAAGATCCCCTTGGCTCATACGACACATGATAATAACTTTACAAACCTTTTAAATTGGTCAAACTCAATTAAACAATCAAGAATTGATCTTCTATGAAATTTTATTATTTTGATACCATAGTAATTAACTACATAGACCTTTAGATTTGATTGTTTTCATAAGAAAACCTTTTGAGATTATACTCACATTTTAGGAGCTTTATTCCAAACAGCTGAAGGAGCATTTTGCCAATATTATCATCCATAGAATATGGAAAATATCTAGCTCATCATAGCTTTTCAAAAAGAACTTATCAACATTAAGTGTTTTTCTAAAAAACAAACAAGTTTCCATTTCATTTTATTAATAATGTATTTAATAAGATTTTGAAGGAAATCAATAAACCCACTCATCTAGTGCCAAATGTTCCACATTATCCTGTGCCCTTTGTGCTACCATATCTAGTCATGTATACTGACTCTCTAAAAAATAACATTAAAAGAACAATTAAATAAGCTTATTCACAAATTAATGTAAGAATTATTTTTCAACCACAAAATTCAAAATTTTTTTATATTAAAAACAGTATTCCACTAGTCAACATTATATATAAATAGTCATGTCCTCACTGTAAGACAGGTTGTACTGGTTATTCAAACTCTTCATAAACAGATTAAGAGACATGCAAAAAAAATATCTGACATGATGTCATCCGTATTAGAGCATGCATGGAACTGTGATATCACTGTTCACAAAAAAATAACAGTTTTCAATCATCGGTTCAGCTGATTGTGAAATGACACTTAGGGCTGAGAAAAACAACAGTTTTTAATCATAGGTTCAGTTGATTGTGAAAGGACACTTAGGGCTGAGGAAGCTTTATTCATCAAGACTTTACAATCAGAGCATAATTTTAATCAAACTTCAGTACTATTAATACTGAAAATGTGAGTAAAAAATGTTTTCTATTGAATAGCACAAAAATGAATTGATTCATCAAGCTAATGAAACCAAAGCTTAACTTGAACCAAGCCACCATTATCTTAGGACCAAATAATGCTGAATGTAGCATTCTGAATTCTGTAAACCTGTTGTGTTGAATGTGACGTTTTAATTTGTGAAAGGAGAATATGTTTGTTGAATACTACATTCAAATCCTTGTAAACAGAAAAAGCAAACTGACTGTGACTGACCCATAAGGAAAACAAGTTTGTTGAATGTGATGTTCAAATCTTTGTAAATAGAACAAGAAAACTGACTGTGATTAACTTTTGTAAGCAGAACAATAATGTTGAATAGTAGTGTATAAACAAAAGGGGTAAGTGCCCCAGAAATAAAGGGATCTCTTATTACAATAATACAGAGATACAATGTGGTATAACAATTTAGAAAAATTCACAATTCTTTCTAAAAATGTGTATGCTTATGCAGGCAAGTTGAATTTGAAAATCTGCTCAATATATACTAAACATGACTAAGTTATTATTACTTTTATCTTTAATTTACCTACATTACACACTTAAGATTGAAGATCCAACAATTTAATTTAGGATTTAGGAAGGCTCCAGTGACACTATAGAAAAAATAAGGATATGTTGATTCCTAAGTGGCTAATCTTCAATGTTCTTTGCTTTAAGGTTTTGGAACTGACACAGTGATCATCCACACCCAAGTAGAATAGCAATGTTTCAACGAACTTCTTCTTGCCAATGAGTAAACTTGTGTAATATTAATCAATATAATTTTCCAATAGGATTACTACGAAATTTTTTGCACACACAATTATATCAGAAAGTATTAATAGTAGGAGAGATAACAGGAAAATTTTGCTTGATGCCCTTTCAAGGGTTTTGCTATGTCACTGATCTTGATCATGGTATGAGCTTTGTATACAGAAAACTATGATAAATGTGAAAACCTGGCTAGTGTTAACAGAACAATGTTACCAGACATCACCTTGTTTGAAATCAAATGATTACTTACCACAGTCAATTGATGGAGTAACAGTCCCATTGCAAGAAAGTCTTGATTGTAAAGAAACCATTTCAGCATCCTTTTCTGCTAAACGAGCCTGTACCATAATCAGCTGATTCTAGAAAAAAAAACTTATTAATCACTGCATGCTTTCTTAAGCATTCGAAATAGAACATCATATAACATGACTATTTCTATTCTTTAGAGCAGAGGTCTCCAAACTACAGTAAGTGACTTTGGTTTATCCGGCCTGCCAACAGGTTATTAAAGTAATAATATAATTTTTTAACATTATAAAAACAAAAAACAAAATGTAATAAAACTTTGAACCTCAATTAAGTGTAATTTTGTCAGAAAAGCACCAGTTCATGCTTCTCACTAATGCTAAAAAAGATAATTGTGTATCTTAAATATTTTCAGTATATGCTCTTACGAGAAATAAATTAGTAATGTTGTATTCTGATGATGTATGCATCCCTATTTAATTTTACCACGACCCCTCCGGCCCGCTAAGTCTAAAAAGATCTACCTTCCGGCCCTTGTCCAAAAAGGTTTGGAGACCCCTGCTTTAGAGCATTAGTAGTTACCTAATACAACATTCAAAGCACTAAACAAACACTTACTTTAGACAATAAAAGACAGGTCTAATATTTTATATATCTATTTATATATTAATACATACCCTTGCAATAAGAACTAGACTAAAATCTAGTTGTACATGTGATACTTTTATGTCTCTTTGCAACACATGTTACCTGTTTTCAAAACGTTTTGGATTTGACTTAATGTAATTCATACTGGTAATGTTGTAAACATTATAGGAATAAAACATACATCTTATCTCCACAGAACCTTTGGAATGTTCGTAACATTAACATGAAACATGCCACACAATACACCACCAGTTTGATCCACAAGGATAAAGAGAACAATGTTATATGTGTAATATTCTACATTTATTACAATGAAACATCATGCCTGAATAAGGTCCTCAAAAACCACAATTTCCAGTTACTTTAGTTGAATGGCCTGGCAAACTCTTAAAAATACAATTGTGTTCCTTGCTTTTAATTTCAGTCTGCCTTTCATAATAAGAAAATATGCTTGACTGCTGAACCTGGGATAATAGTATAGTCACATTCTTACAAAAATTTTCTCCCCTGACTTTGCAAGCAAAATTCTAAACTTTATAGACTTGAATATGCATGTATGACACTGATATTTCAACTTTTCTTCATAATTCTACCTAATTAACACACATTAACAGTACAAAAATAATATTCATGTTTTAATATTTTTGACATTGGTGTTCACCTTTCATGCAGACTGATTTGGTATTATTCTGCTTAATGTACTTGGGTTAGGACTGCTTTCCAGTAAGATATCAAATAATGTAATAAATCCATTAACATCCATACACATACTGTTGATGACATAATAAATTTTTCAACAACAGCAAGGTCCATCTAATTATATCTATATCATATATTTTTATCCTTTACAGTATGCTCAAAAATTTATACATATATAAATGTTTTCTAAAACTGTTTATTTACAGAAACTGTTTGGTACTGGAATATGGCTTCATCTGACATGTTCATTATCAATACATTTAACCAATTAATTCATATACATATATACAAGAACTTACATATATGTACATGTGCATGTGCTGATGTCTACAAAAATGGATATTTTTAGACACTTCAACTTTCTATTACGTTGGTGTTGCTCAGTTATTAGTACTGATACACTACAACTTTTGTTCGTGTGTGAAAGTATACCACATTTATTTTTTGCCCTAGTACAGTTCTATTTTCAAACCTTACCATGCTACAGTCATGATTTTCTTGTGAATGTGAGACAGCAAAATGCTGATAAAATAATTTAACAAAAAAGTTTCTATGGAGATAAGTTGCATATTATATTCCTACAGTGTGTACAAAAAAAAGCTTCTCAGAAAATTATAACAGAACAATACACAATAACTAATTCTTTTGTTAAAGTCGGATGAATTAATAGGAACTCTTAATCCAAAATAAAGTATCAAGACCAGAACCAAAAAGCAACTTATAAATTAATAAAGCCAACAGCAAATTGACTAAAAGTGCATAATGTCATTATTTTTCTATATTCTTAAATGTACATAAATTTGTCCATTTCAGATAAATTTAACAGTAATTCCTATTAACTTCTGACTTATTTATCTGAGTTATGATAGAAAAGTGTTTAAAATGGCAAAGAATTATCTTTTGAACATTAACCTCAGAATAGATGAAATACACTTGTTAACTATCCACTGTGATGCATGATAGTAAGGCCTTAAAGTTTAAGATGAAAACTTAGAAAATTTATAATTTGTTTATTTACCTCAGCTTTCTTAAATGCTTCATCACAATCCTGTTTTTCTTGCTCAACAGTTGATAACCTTAATCGAAGGTTGGAAACTTCTGTAATTAAGTCAAATTTACTGCTCTCAAGTGAAGACCTGGTAAGAAGCTCCTAGACAAGGGTGGAAAAAATATCAATAAGATAAATATATATATATATATATCAATGCAGCCCTTCTTTATTCCAAAAATGCATCATATTATTCTTTTCTTTAACTTAATAGAAGTTTCTATCATGACCATAGATTACATTTATCATTCAAAGCATGGAACTTGATCATCATAGTTTACACTGGAATTATATATATATTTATACAGCATTCTTTCTGTTGGAGTTTAATTGATTTGGTAATACTTTCAGATACTGCTTTCTTATGTAAGTAATAAACCATGATTTTCACAAATTTTTAGCACTAGTATGTTGATGGTACTGCTATTATAACTCAAAAATATAAAATTGTTTATAATTTAAATAAATAAAATATTACCTGTTGCAGCATCTCTTCAGTATTATCAATTTGTTCTTTCTTTTCTTCAATGTCTGCTTCCAGTTCCCGCAACTTGTCTGTTTGAGCTTCCACCTGGTCTGTTAACACACTCACCTACATGATTGGTTGCAAAAGAAATACCAACTCACAAATGATTTAGAGTTAAGTCGTCCACTAAGAAACTATAACACAAGTTGTTGTTTTTATCCTGAATGATACCTTATGTAATACAGAGATTAAACATCCAGATATAGCTGTCCCTAATTTTACACTACTGACCAGAGGAAAGGTAACCAATCAGCAGCACCCACCACCACAAGAGCTCTGTCTGGCTCTGAAATGAATAATGAGATTAACTATCATTTTTATAATGCACTCATAGTTGAAAGTGCACAACATGTTTAATGGAATTGTGGCATGAATCTTCGGCCTTGCAATGTAAAGCTGGTATGCAAGCCACTATGCAACACCCTGTCAAATATAATACAAGCACACAGTTTTCCAAGTTATGCTGATGGTGTTGCACTGCACCAAGTTTTCTCATGAGTCATTAGTTGATAATGCTGCAAGAAAATTATCTTCACATTATAGCTTTTATTATAACAGAGACTAGCAGAATTCTCAAGTTATGTAAATCATATGTTAAAGATAAGAATTCACCCACTATTAAACAGATGTATCAAAATTAGGTTTTTTACACAAAATAAAAATTCATAAAAATTTACACTAATATGTGAAATGTAGAGATATAAATTACCACAGGTAGATGTTGTTATAAGAGTTTAAAATACTTATAATCATTAAACCAAAAAATCTCTTTTAAAATAACAAATAAAAACTGTGGAGAGCTTCAATTGCATTCACTTTCAGTTAAATTATTTAGAAAATTATAAAACTGTATGGAATTGTATTCTGCCTTCAGAGCCTATGATATATTGAAACAAAATTCTGCCCCTCCCAATAAGGATGATTATCCTGTCATAGATTAGAAGTTCTATTAGTCACTACTTTATAAAAATACATGGAGAATATTTTGATGCCAATTAACTAAATGTTATTGCTAAACTGCTTAACACTGTATCATTAACTATAAAAAGTCATATGACTAAAGTGTTGATTCTTAATGGCTAGTGCAAAAAATAAAAAAGTTAAATGATTTATGATAAGTTCATCTATAAGACATGATGAGTAATGTAACGCAGTGGAAAGATATATAAGAATTAAAATATTTCAGAAATAAAAAATTAAGTTTCAAACATCAATTTTAATTTTGGACACTGTTTGCCTTTCTGAAAATCCCTGAAAAAAATGTTTGCTTATTTTTTGTAAAATTAATCTTCAAAACAATTGTGGCAGAATTTAATATTTTTGTCATATTTTCTCTAATATTAAGCATTTTAGATAGCCATAACAAACACAATTCAACATATTTCTTTCAGGAAACACAATATTAACCTGCATCATTAGATTTTCCTTCTCCATTTCCAACCGATGAACTCTTTCATGTAATTCTTCAATTTCTTCATTCTGACTTGAAGGCTAAAAATTTTCAAGTCATAAGCAAAAATAACAATGAAAAAAATTGGTACAACAGATGAAAATTAAAAAGGTAGTATAAAAATTACAATATCAAATAAAACAAAAAAATAACCAAAGTCACCTGTGAAATAATGAAAAGGAAAACTGACTTATCATAGAAATCCAAATTATGCTATTTATAATTATATAAGAGCTCTAACAAACATGACTAAAACTCCTCGAGTTGCCACTCATTTCTTAATTAAAGTTGAATAGGTAAGAATGTAACTGGAAAGTACAATTACATTTCACAAACTATTCTAAATCTGTTTGAAGGTAACACACTGTCAAATATATTGATATCTTAACCTTAAAATGTGTAACTAGAGAGGTTTTTATTAACTTTTTTCTTTACTAGAAAATATTCTTAGAATAACAAAGAATAAAGAATGATGGTGACAGCTCAAGCTTTAGCCATACAAAAATAAATCAAACCATATACAAGTGCACACACATATTACAAACAAAAGGTGTACACATCAAGAAAACTGTAACACTGGGTATTTATGCACATATATATATATAATACACAGGCATCTATTATTATTAACTTTGTATTATATAGTAACATTGGTTGTGTGTATTAAAATATGATGACACGCATGAAGTACATGAAGTAACTTGTTGTACATGTAACAACATAAAAATATGTCCATGTAAGGATACTAATTCTGTACATGATACATGCAAATGGTTATTAATACAAACTGTTAGCTACAGGTAAACACTTTCACTAATACTTTGTATTATCACAAGCAAGTAATAACACTAGTGAGGTGTATATATACATGCACACCAAAAATTTAAACAAACTACATAACTTTTCTGTATCACTTTACCTCTGTTGGCCAAAAATTCTGGTTGAACTGAACAAAGTTTCCTCTTGAGTACACAAAAATATACACACAAATCATTTTCAGAGTGCTTGAAACACAAAATTATTGAAAAAAGTTCCCAGTAGTCAATTAAACAAGTGACCTGAACAGTCACTATTTTCTGACTAAACTGATCTACCAGACTGGCCAATAGTACATGTATATATAAATATAAAGCTAGTAAACTGACAAGATGGAAAAAAATATATAAATGAAAAGTTTCTATTTCCTGACTTAATTAGCTACCAGACTGGCTAGCAGTAAAAAATAAATATAAAAATTTATCTAAACAGTTACTATTTCCTGACTGAACCAAGGTAGTAGACTGACCAGCAGTTAAATGAATAATTGATCTAAACAGTTCCTATTTCCTGACTGAACCAAGGTAGTAGACTGACCAGCAGTTAAATGAATAATTGATCTAAACAGTTCCTATTTCCTGACTGAACTGAGGAAGTCGATTGACCAGCAGTTTAAATAAACAAGAGATCTGAACTGTTTATACTTTCTGACTAAACTAAGGCATTAGCCTGATGAGCACCCAATATATACAAGTTATCTGAACAGCTACAACTCTATGACTGAAATAAGTCAGTAAATACATGTGACACGTGTCACATACAAAATTCTCTGAGGCTTTCACAAAAGGAGTACACTCATGGGGAGGATGACTGCTAAGACTCCATGATGAAATTACACAACTATCCAAAAATAGCACCTCCACGTCTGCCAGTTCAGCAGAAACAGACATTATCTAAAAACATTTCATATGGTCTTTACAGTTAAAAAAATTATCCCCTTCCATTGAAGACATCTGAATCCTTCAAACGCTTACAGATACAAAATAAATTCGTAAACTACTTGACTAAAAACAATGCTAGTTCATGACTTTCTTTGACAATTGGTTTGTCTAATGCTTTCTTGCTTTGTCTTCTATGTTCTAGGTTATTGTTTGACATACAATTTTTAACATTCCATTCATTTATTTTTTAATTCAAATGTCAGCATTTACTTCATAACAAAATTATCTTAGTACTATCTAGTAGATAAAAAAACAATAAGGAGTACAACCACTAAATATCACAGACTACTTTATGAATATAAACTCTCTACTTTTCAAGTTAAGATCTTGAATTAAATTTAATTGTGCATCTTGTAATAAAGACCTATGTAAACACTGTGAATTTCACACTCATTCAGTACAGTAAGTACTGTCTATAACAATTTCACTGCATATGTGTTTGCTTCTAAGTAAGATGATTATTAAACCCTCAAATTATCAAGTTGTTTTTACATCATATCAGTGGGAAAACATACTGCATCACATTGAGTAACCTTGCAACATATGGAGTAATGAAATAAGAAACTTGGATAAAATCACTAATTTTCTGTGTAAAATACATAAAGGATCCCAGCAGTTATTAGTGGAGTTCACTGCAATATTGATAGTATATATATATATATATATTTGCATTTTTTGTATGACTTATGTGTTATTAAAGACCATATATCCAGTACAACTGTGTACCCCACACTCAATTCAGTGTATAATTAGGTTAAAATGATAATGAGGTCCACATGAAGCCTTTGTTTTGTGATCTTCTATTATTATTTTTCATCATAGTTTTTTAACACACTAGTGGCCACATTTTTAAGTAGTAAGTGATTTTCCAAAGCAAATATAAATTCCCAACTCCAACTTTCATTATGATGAGTTAAGAATTAAAGATATTATTGAACTTTAAAATATTTTTTAGTGTTGCATTATGTATGAAAACCCTAATAGTCAGTTCTGTTTTTCACACTTAATATAAACCCCAAAAAATGACATTTTAGGCACACCCTTTATAATAAATCCTTTCTTTTAAAAATTATACATATATCATACATAATTTTACTATTTTTGCAAAGCATCTACTTGTACAATTGAATGTAATTTTTGAACAACACCTTAGTTACAGATACATGCAAGGTGTCAAATATAATCATAATACCAGACATTTACTTAGGTACATTTCTTTTTTTCTAAAAATCAGAATCAAGCTAAGTATTTTGATTTTTCATTGAATGTAGCATAGAATGAAAAAGGTTAGACTTTTTCGGATAAATTCTAATTCTGTTACTTACAACAAAAAAAGCTGTTAATATATTTTGTTAATGAATATTATTAGTATAAAGAAATCCTTTTTTCTGGAATGAACTCGATATAATCCTGTGATATAAAAATATATGGAATAAATAAAAACACTTGTTTTTCCTTCGGAACTAAAAGTCATTTATTAATATAAGTTGTGAATTTGATATCTAAGTTAAATAATACACAAATATATAACTAATATTTTTTCTCTAAGTATATGCTCAACAAATACACAGTTCCAGAAAACTGTCTTAATGTCTTTTATCACTGCAAAATACTATGCTGAACCTTTGACATTCACAAGACATACAAAAATTTTATGAATTAACAGCTCAGTGTTCTTAAGAAAACCTTACTGTCTTTCACAAAACAAAAGTAAGCAAACCCTGCTCAACCACTGAATTATCTTAGATACAGTAAAAATAGTGAATGGTGGGAAAATATGATAGACTGTCCCACCCTTTTTTACATGAGTTTAAATTTGAGTGTTTTATCTGAAGAAGCCAAGTACTACAACAATACAAAATGTTATGTACATTGTACTATACAAATGTTTCCTGTGCATTTTACACGAGATCAATACACTTTTAACAGAAAATGTCATCCAAAGGCTTGTTGTAAGCATAATAAATCATCAAAGTAAATGTTACACAGAAGCATGTGTTCTGTCATTACTGACTTGGTAAACATTCTTGCAGAGAGAAGCACAGGTAAGTTATACACTACTAAAATTTTAGGTTTATTAACACTCTTCACAATTACTGTTGTTTCATTAACATAATTATTTTGGTTTAAACTATCAGTTTTATTCTAATGAAACACATGCATTCATTCATGTAGTGTATGGGAGTTATTAATATTTTTAAAAGAACATGTTAACTGATTGGCTAAACAATACAGAAAAACAAACAGACACAGCAAGGTTTGTTTTATATTCAAGGATTAGTAAACAAACCATAATACATACTGTAATGTTATGTGAATTTCATATATTAAATATGTACTAAAAAAACTCAAATAATGTGGTCAAAAATGCTGCTTCCAAGAACATTTGATAATATTTACACTAACAGTTTTATACAAATTCATATTACAAAAGATGTTTGGAAGAAAAATATCATTGCATTTGAATGCTTTAAATGATGAACGACACAAGTAACTGTGATCATAAAAAATTACTATCTAACTTTATTAGACCTTTTAGGAAATTATAATAAGATGTTTCATTAATGAAAACAGATCTCATGCAGTTTTATTAAAAAAAAAAGTTTTGCACATCATCAGGCTGAGCTATCAACACAAAACTAGCATTATATGAAAATTAAGATCCTAAGCTCTGTTGACATCAATTTTAAATTAACTAATGAATCAATTTCCTGTTATCCTCACCACATGATAAACACGAATAACGAGCATCTAAACAAGAGATATAATAATTACTACACTGCCCAGTTATGAAAGTTACTTACTTAGATGTCTTGAACATAGTATAATACAGAATGTAGTTGTCTTATAAAATCAGCTACTACTACATTTGATTACAGAAGATCAAAACAATTGGTCAAGCAGAACATTAGGCAATCAAAAAGGGCATATAAAAAAGGTTGGGTGAAAATGTAAAAATTAACATTATGGATTTCTTTAAATAAATTAAAGGTAAGCAAATTTTAGGATCAAAGTAAGGCCTTTGAGGGATGATAAAGCTCATTTCTGATACTATGTAATGACTAAGTTACTAAATTACACTTTTTCTTGAATAGTTGCTAGATGAAAATGTGATTGAACTTGTTAATAACAAATCAAGAAGTTTATAGAATGATAAGGTTCTTAGACCAGAAAACATTTCCTCAATGATTTTTAAGGAGGTTAAGAATTGGATATGTAAGTCACTTGTTAATATTTTTTGTTAGTTCAGAAGATTGGAAATTGGCTAATGTTACTTCTCTTTT